TCTCTCTCTCTCTCTCTCTCTCTCTCTCTCTCTCTCTCTCTCTCTCTTCCCTATATCTTATATGACCAATCTTTTCAATTTTTTTACCTGTTCATATTAGTGTATGAAAATTTGATTCGAATTCGATTCGTTTTTTAATCAAAAGAACTACATCTATCCAGTCTATCCTAGAAATTTCGCTATAATTGCGATTCCATTTAGGGGAAAAGTGGCAAAGCAAAATGCGCACAATTATCCGCTCCTCCATCTCCCTCCACACACAGACACACACACATATATATATGTATATAATATATAATTCATGTCTCTTTCATATTCCATTTAAGGTAATACGAATCGCCATGTCTTACTTTACAGCGTTTACCTCATTCAAAGAGTGATTACTGAATCTTCAATTATTTCTTCACCGCATTTTTATATGTTTAATATAATGTGATTATACAATGTCAATAAATTGTATTTGATACATTTAATTTTGACACAATCCTTAAATTTAATTTTATCTTTCTTATAATTTTCTATATTACTTTGAATTATATTTAAATTGTGAATTTATTCGATTTTATTATATTTTATTATTTACTACTTTCAAAGATGTGTGAGACTTGATTCTACTCACAGTCAATTGAACTGACTGAAAAAAAAATTCTAGCAAAGAAGTAGAGTACTCACAAAAAAGTAACTCGCGTCTACATTGCTATTACTGTTACCCTCAATTGTCCTGTCATTCTGAATACGCTATGCTATAATACGTCTATACCATACTTATGTTATTATACATGTCAAACTATAGAAAGATGTTTAACAGAATACTTTTGAAGATGATGGAAGTGATAATTTAATATCGACAAGTAGATAAGTATATCCCATCATTGGAGTAACGAGATACACTAACAATTACTGACATTGCACGATACTGTATTTCTTATTCTATACAACTTGTATTGTTCAAATATCTAAAGTCAATCGATAGCACGTTTTATCATTACATTTTAGTATATCGGAGAGCACAAGTATTAGCCATGCTAGCGAATTTTCTGCGAGAGCACAACGTAAACCGAGTATTTTTATCGATTTCAGGTCTCTGGCTGTTTCAAAGTAAAAATATGAAAAATTCATTACGGACTATTTGCTTGCTAATGGAAATAAGTTACTTTCCGTTTGAGGTAATGCGTATCGATTAATATACATAATATAATGGGTTTAATAAAATACATTTTACTGATATTCACAATGATCTATTTATCAAAATATTATCATTATTGTAAATAAGCTATCTATATAATAATGTTACTGTGCACAAATCTCATTATCATAAAATATAATTTATAATGTTCCAATATAATATAAATAATTAACAATTAACGGAGGATTATAATTAAATGAGCAAAACAATTTTATACGATTGATCTTACAACTATATATTTGTAATGCATTTTATGAAGGATAATTAAACATTACATACAGGTATTACTGGTGTATGATCATTGGGATGATCCACAAATGATTGTTGATGGCTCCTATCAATTAATTTTTACGACTGCTTTTATCGCAAGGGCATTGCATAATATTTGGAACCAGAACAAAGTAAGTTCACAAAACTCTATCATATATTGACATTATGTCTTTTAATTACTTTTACATTAAGCAAATTATTTTACATATAATATATTTGAAAAATCATGTCCATATTTATTACAAACAGTTGCAACAATTGTGTATAGCCATTGATAAAAACTGGGACATATTTACAAATGATGTGGAAGTTGGAATCATGAAAGATTACGCTATTCTGTCACGAAGATTCACAATAGTTTTCTCGGGTAAGTACATTATGTAGAGTAATTATGTCATATAACATGACAAAATAAAATAACTAAAATTTTTATACTATAAAATAAAACTAAACTATATAAGTAGTGATATAACATTTGCTAAGTTAATGAAAAAAATGGCTCTAAAATACTTCAGATTAATATTATTAAACAAATACACATTATTCTTTCGAAATGTTGCAGTGCTATTATATTCAATAATGTTAATATTTATAACAATACCATTAATACCAATATTATTAGACACTGTGCTACCTCTTAATGAATCACGTCCGCGAATCTTTGCAATCGAAATCGAATTCAGAGTGAATAAAGATGATTACTTTTTACTACTGTTTTGTTACACTACCATCGTAATTACAATAGGTCTAAACATTACAATTGGTGTTGATACAATGCACATCACCTGTACTGCTCATGCATGTAGTTTATTTGCCGCTGTTAGGTAAATCAATTAAATATTATAAATATAATAACATTGTTATAAGTATGTCACAATCTTAATTTTGTAAAAACGTACTCCATTCAAATATTTTATATAAAGTAGATGTTTTATGTGCGTTTTTCGTATATGTATTAAACATATATTTTATTTAACTTTTGCGAGATATCATTTTTACAGTAAACAAATTGAAAATATAATTTCCAAAACTAATAATAATAATAAAGTCAGCAAATGTGGATATCGTGTGGAATTTAATCCATTAAATGAAGAAATAATATACCGGGAATATATAATATGTTTAAAGAAACATCAGCTTGCTATTGAGTAAGAAAGTTTTATACTTGTTTTTCCATAAATAAAATTCCTCCACTCCTTTCTCCCTTCTCTGGACCTCAAATTAACATAACTTATTTCTAATCTAGATTTGTTAATATATTGGAATCATCATTTCAAGGACTTTCATTATTTTTATTACTATTAATTCTTGGAAATATAAGTCTAATTGGAGTCCGAGTAAGTAATATTGAAATTATTTCAATAAAATTCCGAAGAGATATTTTAGAGAAATTGCAGGATTATAATAGAGATTTACTAATAACGGATTACAAATATACGCAATTTAAAACAATCAAAATCATATGACGTCAATCAAATCATGTAGACAAATTTTCTCTTTCCTTATTTATTGAGAGAGAGTGAGAGAGAGAGAGAGAGAGAGAGAGAGAAATCAAGTTAATATTTAATTATTTATCTACATATAATTTTTTATATTCATCATATTTTAATATTTATGATTAGACTGATTAATAAATACAAAACAAAATCTAGTTTATACAAGAGAAATAAGATTTTGAATTTAAAAAATAAAAAATTTTTCAATTCTGATTAAGGCAAACAATTATAATATTATCATTAACATTAAATCTTACTGATACATATTGCAAAATTAAAAAAATGTTATTAAATAGAAATATAATTATTACTGAAATAATTACGTAATAATTCTAATTTGTTACAGCTTTTTTATGTGTTAGATCAAACGCAACAACTGATAAAATTCGCATTTATGTTTACCGCGATGTTATCTGACTTGATGATCATATGTTACTCTGGTCAAAGATTAATGGATGAAAGTCAGGACATATTTTATCGAGCGTAATATTTATTTTACACTTTAACTTATATGTATATATCGGTGTTTTAGACCAACCATACCATCCTTTTGTATTTGCAGGATAACATCCAATCGAAATGTCACGGTTTTTGGAGGTTCTTGCTCTTATTGTTATTTTTACATTAAATATGAAAATAACAGGACAGCCTAAAAAGTCTATGAATTTAACAAATATTATTAAGATTAACCTTGACATTATTTAAGATCAAACTCATAAGATCAGTAAATAGATCTTTAATCTTAAAACTTTTATCTGAATACGTTTTGGATTAGATGTTACCCTGCGAAGATAAAAAAAAGGTACGGGTACAGTGATCTGAAACACTCGATATACTTTACTATATACAGGATATTTGGAATTTAAATAGCCAAACTTCAGAAGCGCGTAAAGGATCGACAAACTAAGAAAAAAATCCTGTAGAGATATGCTCGTTTTAGCTTTATTTTGAAGAAAATCTCAAAAAAAAAAACGTAGTCTTCATATTTGTACTTTTTTATTACTCATTTATGTTGTATTTATTCACTTATTTAATGTGGATATTGTTCAAAATGTTGGCCTCTTGCAGCAATGTAAGCATTGCATCTAGTATGGACAACTCGTGTTGCAGCTAAATACTGATCTGGCGGTATTTGGTGCACTGCAACCTCAATTCGATTTCTAAATTGTTCTCTTGAGTTGATTTATTTGTTTTTAAATTTAGTTAAAGGTGATTATTACTAATTCTTACAGATATGCTGCAGAATGGTACAAATTTTCGCCTAGATTAAAATCTTTACTGTTAATAACCCTTTATAGAAGCAATATTCCATGTGGATTGAAGGCAGGTAATGTGATTCCGTTATCTATTGCGACTTATGCTGCGGTAAGTAAAAGTACAAAGACAAGTAAAGTTGCCTTTTTATAATACACATATATATATAAAGCAATTTATGCTAATTTTTTAATTCAATTTAAGGTAGTGCGAATTGCCATGTCTTACTTTGCAGCGTTTAGGTCAATCAATGAATGATATTCAATTTTTAATTAACTATTCACCATTTCTATTTGTTTTGATATGTTCTCATCTTAATGTCAATAAACTGTATCTCAATCGTTTAATTTTAGAAATCTTTAAATTTAATCAGATCAACCTCTTTCTATTTTTATAATTTTCTCAGTTGTTTTTTTGGATGATTACATTTTCTATTTTCAAAGAAACTCGATTATATTCTCGAATAGCTAATTATTTAAGATCAACTGGGAAATATTCTAGAAAAGAAGAATTTTCAATATCATTGATAAAATAGCTTGAACTAAAAACATCGAAAACTTTTAGGAACTTCTACTACACAAAAAATTCTTCAAAATTTAGTAAAAAAAAGTTGATAGTATGTGAATTTTTTCTAAGTTACTTTGTAAACATACGTGAATTGAATTAAAATTTTGTTTTGATATATTATAGAGAGAAATGCGTAAAGAAATAATAAAATCTGGAAATGATGAAAATGTACATGTAGGACCAAAATTAAGGATTATACAATAGACAAACATATATAATATATTTTTTATATTACGAAATACAGGAATTATAAGTGGACGACTTCGATTTCACAATCTGCTTTTTATTTTTGACTATCATTATATAGACTGTCACATGAGATTTTACATACATTATATTTTTGTATACTATACAAATTTTGTATACTATATTACTGCAATCGTATTTGAACATATACATATATAATATATAAATATATAATATGAAAAATGTTTGGTATGCAATATTAAAATATAGATAAATTGGACTACATAATATAAATAAGCGAGAAAACCTTATTTGGTCAAAACAGATCTTGGTTCTTAATATACGTTTTGTAATTTTTAGTTCATTGTAAAATTAACGCAAAAATATAATTAACACATTATAAGAGCTTCTTCTCTTATTTGTGTCACATAACAGTTGATTGATCACTTATTGTTATACAAAAATTGGAAGTTTCAAATGCACGTGAATAATGTTATTACAAAATTATCATTTTTATTATTGAAGTATTACATGCAATGTTATGATTAACAAAATGTATTAATTTAAAATTCCACGTATTTGTTGGGATAATAATAATAATAATAATATATATAATAATAATTGTTGTTTGAATAAAAATGATGCATTTGTGTATATTTTTTCATATCTTTATTTTTACAATTTATCGTTTAAATAAATTAATAACTATAATGTATAGTTATTTAGTACATTCAGAGAACAAGAAACATGTTTGGCTTATACATGTAATATTTTTTTATATAGATATTTAAGATAAAAAACATTATGATATAATAATACAATATAATATTTAGCAATAAAAAAATTAATCATAAATATTGTTATTATTTTAAATAATGGTTCTTTAACAATTTTTGTTTTCCGTATTTATAAACTTAAAATATGGTCATATGTCAGAGATCATTTGCACGCCGATTAATCTTGTTATAGAAGCTACAGGATATTTTCAAATGTTGATACTCGTGTATTAATGGTTTGAACACTTGACTCTAAGAAAAACATCAGAGCCGAGAATATATATTATATATAATAAAATGTAACAAACTAATATTATTTTATTACATTATACGTATATGAACTTATAAAATAGATATGCATATGCTGATGTACATATGCTGATATAAGTGATGATTAAACATCATATAACACTCTGTTTTACATAAATATTCTAATTAACATATTCTTTCGGATAATTATTGAAAAAAATTTCTATTTAACTTAAATTGGACATGTACACACAGTTACGACGTTTTACATAAAATATATGTATATATATATATCTAAATATATAATTGACATAAAATTTATTTCTTTTTTGTATGTAAATATACGTTCATTTTTAATAGTAATTAAGCACATGACTAGGAAATAAAAACATTACATAATTGTCATTCTGTTAATAAATATATAGAAATTGTATAGTTGTATACAATTTCATATAATAAAGTTCATAGTATGTATACAGTTGTGCAGTAGGAGATAAAGCATACTTTAATACAACCAAAATAATAATTTTTTTGTAACAATTTGAAAGAACAGTAAAATATTTGGTAACTTTTATATTGTGGGACACCTTCAATCACCTTGACCCTAACATATGTTATAGAAGTGATGGTACTGTAGGGTCAAGAATCGCTTCTGTAGACTATTGCGCGAGAGCAAGTATATGTGTGAGAATATCTATGTTGGGTCAACGAGAGACGCGATTATCGTGATATTATTGAAAAAGAAGGAAGCGCGAGTTAGTTTCGTAGCAACAAAAGCTATAGTAATCAGAGCAAAACTTATTGTAATAAAACTTTATAGTATTATAGGGCTCGTGCCAGGATAGAAAACGATCTAAAGTCAAGACAATAACAGAAGACGCGAAATTACGATGAATCAGAGCCAAAGACGACGATAAAATTAAAACAACGAAAAACGATAATGACGCGAGATCGATGACTGAAATCTAATCGACACAGAACCGAGATGACGCCCGAGGAAGATAGTGTGAATACGATGTGAATAATACGATGATACGCGAAAATAATGAGCTAAGTACTAACGAAAATCAAGTAATTTACGCGATCTTAACGAAGTAGATCCACACTGCATATACTTAACGAATTTCGATAATGGATCACCGATACGTATATATACTATAGTGACCACCAATAAGTGTGTATAGAATGTTAAAGAAAGAGGTATTATAAAGAAAAAACAGGGCGGTGTCCAATGTGTGTCATTGCCTTAATGAAAAGCTCCATAAGCTGCGTGTATGCGCGCCTTGAATTGGTATTCCTAGCATTTCAGAATTGTATTACCAAAAAGAATAGATAAAAAAGGTTAAGAGTAAAAGCTGGATATAAAATGCTAATATTTAATAATACTTGTGATATGTATTAACAAACATTTCAACCCAACAATTAGGTCTTTTTCAATATTGATCAAATAAATAATAATGGCCTAAAATTGAAATTTCTTAAAAATACATATCACACACTTAAAAATTGAATTTAAAATTACAGAAATATATATTTAGTTGGTAAGATATATGTATAATATATATTCTTCAAATCGCAAGTTCAAAGTTAAATTAATACTATTTAATTAGATAATTACATATAAGTTATACAACAGAAACCGTAAGAGCTCGTTCACGCGATACGGTTTTTTTTATCGTTTTGATAGTTTCACCGAATCGGTAGAAATCATATCGAATCGGATGTTGCGTTCAGACGATAGTAAAAGCGTGTACGGTATTACATAATAGTCAGAAAAAAAGATGGTTTCAATCCTGAAAATATTTGTCCAGAAATCAATTTTGATAATATACCAAATGCGTAAAAGACGCGAGGAGGCTTATCTGCTAATTCAACTAGAACAATATTTGCTAATTATTTCGTGTCAGTTCCTTGATTAGATGACGTTATAAGACAATAGAACATAGTTGCAATTATCTTGAAATTAAATAAATTAGTAAAAATTTACGGAATTCTTGTCTTTCTTTTTGTTCTTTTTCCTCGAAATGTTCCTTTAATATTGCACATACCTCCCTCCATGCTAATTCTTTTATATTCTTATCTTCATAAATATGCAACGTTTTATTCTATATATAACAGATCTTTCCTCTATAAAACTGATTAGAAGTTCGGTATTTATTTCTTCCATTGTGGAATAGTTAAGTGACTAGAATGCTGCGCTCTATAGTAGAAAAGCCAAATCGGTAGAAAAACCGTATCATCTGAACGCGCCACTAACTGATATATATTTGGTCATTTTACCAAATCCTGTGAGGTTTTCAGTGACAAGACCAAATGTCATTTTCGACCGAATCGGTAATTTTCCTGCATGCGATCGACAACCATATCGTGTGAACGCGTTCATATAAAATGTATTGTCACTGTAGAGTATGGCAAAAGAACTGATTCAACGAAAAGACTGATCCAGCAAAAAACCGTATCGTGTGAATGAGCTCTAACACAAGACTGCGCAGCCACGGACGTAATAACATTACTTTGGTTGCATCTGACAAGATGTTGAGTCCTGTCAGAAAGCTGTCTGACTATTTTTTCCGCATATATAGTATTAAATAATATAACGCTCTACCAAATTTCAGATTTTACGAAAAATAATTACATTATTGTACTTTTTTTACATCTTTAAGGTAACGCTGATGCGACATATACCAACGATGGGCGCTCTCTCTCTCTCTCTCTCTCTCTCTCTCTTTCTCTATCTGACGATTATATTTCTACATTTTGTTGCAAAAATTCTACGTAATTCTCAAATTTTACAAAATACTCTTGTTACAACACTACTTTTTCTAACATCTGAAGGAGTGTCGACGTGTTCTAACACCTGACCTGATTCCAGTATTTTGATATATCTGTATTCTAAATACAATTAAAAAAAATTAGCTTTTATAAAATATAAAAGTAAAAATATAAACGTATGCATTGCATGGATTAAGCTTTCGGTGCTAATACAGTACCGAGATGATTAGCGATAACAAATAAAAGCTCTGCTTTCTTTCGTGTACGACATCGCAAAATTCGCAGTAATCGCAGCCACAAAAAGCAAGCAGATCGGGCAAACGTGGCTGCGCATGGCGTCTTACAACGCCTTTATTTATGGCATGATTAAAGCCTCAGACGCAATGCGAAGAAATATATGGTCTGTTTTTTGTTCCTGCACTAGACTGAACTAGAACTCTCTTTCTCACTTTCTACAAATATCAAACATATACCTATCTCACTTTAAGTTCTAAAAGTGTACACTAGTTCAGCCACAGAAAACAGACCTATAGATAGAAATAACGAATAATAGATTTCAATCTACCGAAAGTTTAATACATCGGAATATAAAGTTTCTAATAGGTTGAAATTTGTTATTTCTATCGCTATCGCTATTGTATTACACCTTACCCAGACAGCACAGAATATTTATGATAAATAGATACTTATTA